ATTCGAGTCATAATTCTATTTTGATTTTAAACTCTATGGTTGTATTTGTACATATTTTAGAGACTCATATTTTGTAACTTTAATTTGATTTCCTCTTATGATATGATAAATTATTTTTATATGCATAAATTGTCTTAAAAAGAAATTTTCAAGTTGACCATTTCGGTGGTTCCATGTGGCATTGTAATCCATAGATCTTCATGTCAGACTGGATTAAGGTGTTACATCATTTATTTTTAGAGTTTTTAAAGTCTGTTAGATTAATGTGAATGAATTCTAACGATTTAGTCTTTCTACTAGAAACAGTTTTGAAAGAAGGTCTATCATGCTTGGCTTCTACACAAATTTCACATTTGTTAAAACTATTCTCATCTAGATTAGGAAGTAGATTCATTTTAACGAGTTTCTTAAAAAGAGTGAATGTCTACATGTCCTAATCTAGTATGCCACATGTCAAGAGTCTCAACAATATAAACAGAAGTGGTGGTTTTATTACTTTCATTAAACTAGGTTTTGATTATAAATAAACCTCCGTTCAAATAACATTTCCATACATAATCACTATTACGGGAAAATATAAGTTCATCTTCTTCGAAAACTAGTTTAATTCCTACCTTATTTAGTAACCCACCACTAATCAGATTTTTACGTAGGGCAGGTACATACATAACATTATTTAAAGCTAAGGTTTTACTAGAAGTCAGCTTAAATAAAACATTCCCTTTACCTAGTACTTCAGATCTACTAGTGTTCTCCATGTACACTTGTTTACCATTTTTCATATCATCAAACTCAATGAGCAATTCTCGTTTGGCACAGAAATGTCTAGAAGCGCTGGTGTCAATGATCAATTCAACATTGTTCTCCACTAGGTTAACTTCAGAAACCATCACTGCTGTGACATCGTTAGTGTTCTAAAAAATGTTAAGTTGTGGTTTGTTCTCATTCTGGCGGTCTGATCGTTGTTGACACCTGTAGGCTTCGTGTTCGACTCTTCAACGCACATAGCATGATAAGGGTTTTGGTGGAGCCTTCTCCTTTGCTGGCTTCTTGAAGTTGATAGCTTTAAGGGCTTTGAATTTTTTTTTCTTTTGGCCACCTTGTCTTTTGGGTTTGTTAAACCTGGACCCTGAGGCAGACCTAGATTCAACCAGATTAGCCTTAAAAGAAATATTATTAGAAGAAGTCAACTTATCCTTGATTCATTTGGTTTCTTCTATCTTCATATATCACTAGTTCTTTGATTGTGAACACTATTTTCTTTTTCTTCAATGAATTACGGTAGTTGGACCAGGACTTGGTCAGATTTTTGATGAGGATATTGCTTGCAGGACTTCGTACATCTTTATACCCTCGGCTATGATATCAGAAACTAGCTTATCATAGTCATGGACTTGATCCATGATCGGCTTGTTATTGAAAATATGAAACTTGATCCATTCGCCCACCAAGCATTTCTTTATCCCAACATCGTTGGCTTCGTTTCTCCAGTGTGTCCCAAATCGCCTTAGCACTTTTTTCCTTAAGAAACATGTTAAAAAGTTTGTTTGACACGTTACTGAAGAGAAAACCACGAACTGTCTTATTATCATTCTCGTACTTCTCCAAGGAAACCTAGGAATGAACAACAACAGTAGTAGTTTGGTAGTACTTTACTGGAAGAAATGAGAGTCGAGTCACATTCAACAACATTGAAGGCGACATCTAATGATGACGAAGTAGGTTGGGGTGTTGGCTTGAGCAACACATAATACAGGTCGTGTTGTTCAAAGAAGATTATTATTCTCTAGGACCACATTCGATAATTTGTTCCATCAAGAGCATCAAGCTTGGACAAAACAGAAACAAGCTTTGTCATGGTTTTTGTCATTTTGCAGTTAAAATTCGTTTCTAAATTGTTAGAAAAAAACTACAAAATGAAATCGTTAGCACTGACTGAAAATTAATAAAATAATTAATCAATAAATCGAACAACCGTGTCATAGTATAAACAACAACGACAACAACAACAAAACCCTATTCCCATATACAATGAGGTAAGGGGGAGGTGGGGTAGTAGGCTGCCCCCAACGCCAGATTGGGAGCAGCTTCCGTGGTAGACCTCCGGTAGTAAGAAAATTAAAAATAAAGATAAGATACAATGTCTGCATAAATAAATCAATAAATACATAGTTGAATAGTCTTCATATGCTGTCTTCATATCTGCGTCTGTAATGGTTAGTAAATCCCTGCAAATAAATCCCTGCAAAAAAATCTCTGCTTATAGACAGAAACGTAAGTCCCGGTTAAATATAAAAAGAGGAAAAATGAAGATAAGAATACACATGAGTCAGCGATAGCAAGCTACGAGGAGGAATAAAGTCAAATGGTTTAAAACCTAAACTAAGGCAACACTACTCCGTTATCCTAGTTCTAAGCCTTCATAAAATCTAATAACAGAAACGTATAAAAAGTAGAAGTCATGGAGATTACTACGAAGGCATTAAAAGGAGACAGAGATGCTACACCCTATGGTTGTGACCCACATTACTCGACTACCCTGGTCTTAAGTCTCCATACTTTTCTATCAGAGGTCATGTCCTCGGTAAGGGCTAATTCCTTCAAATCAGATCTCAAGCAGTCTACCCACTTCCTCCTTGGTCGTCCTCTCTTTCTGGCACCGTCGAGTGTAATCGACTCTACCCTCCTGACCGTATCCGACGTTTGTCGCCTAAGGACATGTCCAAACCACCGTAGTCTTCCCTCTCTTAATTTTTCGGATACAGGAACCACCCCCAAATACATCCTAAATGCAGAGTTCGGTGTCATGTCCCACAGAGTTTTACCACATGTCCATCGAAGCATTCTAATTTCTGCGGCCTCCATCCTCCTTACATGATCCTTCTTGATTGCCCAACATTCTGATCCATACAGCAACGCTGGTCTTATTGCCATTCTATAAAATTTTCCCTTAAGTTTTAGAGGCACCTTCTTGTCACACAAAACTCTAGTTGCAGCCCTCCACTTTAGCCATCCCGCCTTTATACGGTGTGTAACGTCATCATCTATACCCCCATCTTTATGTATCATAGACCCCAGGTACTTGAAACAATCCCTTGTGGGGAGAACGTGTCCTTCTATGCATACTTCTAGATCTTCATCGTTTTAGTTCCCACTGAAGTTTGAACATAAATACTCTGTCTTTTCAATATTGATCCTTAGACCTTTTTCTTCCAAAGCAGTCTTCCAGGAAGTCAGTCTACTATTCAGTTCTGTTTTTGTTTCAGCAACTAGGACAATGTCGTCAGCGAAAAGCATACACCATGGAACACCGTCTGGTGTCGCACAAAAGATGTCGTCCATAATCAAGGCGAAGATGTAAGGGCTAAGAGCAGACCCCTGGTGGAGTCCGATTTCCACCGGTATAAACCACTGCCTTAAAAACGAATTTCACCTCGATGTGTGTAATCGATGCTATAGGCGGTCGTCCCCCGAGGTTAACACGACTCTCTTGAAAATTCGTTCGTACACCCGATTTTTCAGAGTGGACAATGGTGGAATTGTTCTTCTCACTTGAAAAATGAAGAAAGCTCTTTAGAGAGTTTTAAGAGGAAGAAGAAATGTTTTGTGATTGTTGGATGAAGAAATGAGATAAAAACATCTCTATTTATAGGCTAACATAAGGGGTAAAAACATTAAAAAAAATTAGTAATAAATCACTGATTTAATTATGGAAATTAAATGTTGTAAATATTTTGTTATAGCTGGATGAACATGGCCTCAAAACTGTCCAGGTTCGTTCACAGATATAGTTGTTGAGACATCTATTAAAGCGGCAAATAAACTGCTAAAATCAAGATCCAAAAGTTATGATTTTATCTGTTGTGATAAACATTTGAACCTAACCCCAAAACAATCTAGGTTCACTATGTGAAAGTCAAAATTAGAATTAAAATCAGAATCAACAGCTAGTCAGTTGTTAAAATACAATAGATTAATTTTCAGCTTTCCAATAATCAAATAGATAATTTCAACAATTAATTTGACCGGTTTTAAAATTTCTTTTGCCTAAAAATATGTTTTAAAAAATCTGTTTTTAGTTTTAGTTTCAATAAAATTCTTCCGTATTTTAAAAAATAAAAAATAAAACAAGCGTGAACCTGTTAAATTCAATTATGATCACGACCATGAACCCGAATAGAGTTGAGCCAGACAGACGATGGTGACGCGCGTGATCAAAACAATCATCTAGCCACATTCAACAATAGAGGGAAAAAGTTCCCCTTTAAATACCTCTCCAAAGGTATTTTTACTCCCAATGTGGGATAAATGCCCTTTAACTTGAAGGCACAACCAACATCGTCAACTCGAATAATTTGAAAATTTTTGACTTGACTCGATCGAACACTTACCCCCTACAATTAATAACATAATGTCATATAGATTATGAGATTATTGTGTGTTATTTTTACTCAATTTATTATACATTTGACATATTGGCACTAATAATATTAATTTATTATTATAATTTTATAAATATATAATAATTAAACTCTTTGTTTATGTTATTACTTATGACCAACCAAAGGTAACATTAAACTCCTATTTTTATGTTAAAGATATTAACATTAATCCAAATGCATTTTTCTTATTATCAATCATTGTTATAATTTATTTTAAACAAAATTAAGTGTTTAAAACATTTTCACACAAAAAAAAGTGTTTAAAGCATTTAAATAGTAAAAAAATCATCAGTTTCAATTGATTTGATCTAAAATTAAAGGTTCAATTAATTCGATTTCTAATTTGATGTTTTTCTACGTTTGATGATACTATTCTTCTTAAATCTTTTTACTCAAATTGAACTGCTCATTAAAAAATAAATAAAACATTTAAAAAATAATTTTATATTTATATTTTAAAATAAAGTTTTATTAATTAATGAAAAAAACCAAACCGAAACAGATTGATTGAGAATTTACAAAATCTTAATCCAAGATTCGACAGTGGGACAAGTTAATTCATCCATACAGTTCAAGGGCAGGGCACAGATTCTTGTAAATCTCGTACAACAACCTTTGATCAAATTCGGAGGTGGAATAACCCAGATCAACTTTTCGAGCTTTGGGAATCCGTTTTCCTCCGAATTCGTTCCGCGCGCTCAAATACCCAACGGTTCCGCCCAATCTCAGCAGCATATTCATGTAACCATTTTTCAGCTTCGTCAGAAGCTTCATCGGCGAAGCGATCATCATTCTCCATCGCAGCCTCGGTGCCGCTCTGATATTCCAAAACCGCCGCGATCTCCCTCCGATCCTCGTCACTTTTATATTCTTTCTCGCTTCGCCGCCGTACAGTCTTTGGTACCGCCGCCTCCCCCAGTACCTCTTCAGGGTTCCGGGAACAATTGGTTTCCGAAGGAACTCCATTGTTGAGAGAACGAAGAAGATGATTATGAGATTGAGTTATCCACGACGACTGCTTATATACATACATGCACATGAAATTTGTGAAGTGATCTCAAGGGCAATGCAAGTCAAATAATTTGAGGTCAACAAAGTCGGTTTTTGACTAATTAATTGAATATGTCATCTAAAAGAAAAACAAATCATCTTTGAAATAAAAAAATAAATTATTTTTTTGAAAACTTTTTAAAAAGAATTGAATTTTTTTTCATGATTTTATGAAGTGTTTGAATTTAATAGATATCATGTATCATGCGACATATCCATAAAGTGACATGCAAATTTTTATAATGAAATAATGAATTGAAATAGTATGCAAGCCAAATTGTAAAAACCATAGATGCTAAATTAATAATGGAATATAACTTTAAAGGATAAAATATTATTTAATATGTTTTGAATAATGAATGTTGGGTCAAACTTAATAAATAAAAAAATGAGGATGATAACTCAACCTTGAACACTATATATTTAATGATTAGTTTGAACGTGAATTACTGAATTGAAGCATGGCCCAGCTTAATTAGGTACTACATTATTTTATCAAGATGCAATAAATGTAGAACGAACCCACCCTCTATTAAAGATGAAATCTTGTCTTTGTTGAAACTCGAACAATTTACTAATCAAGTGTGATGCTTGAGTTTCAACAGAGACAAAATTTATTCTATCATTTTTATTTTAGATTCATAATATTTAAGTAATTGGGTATGTCGTATTCGAGTACGTTAATATTTGTCTTGGTACATTTAACTGAAGTTTTTGCTTTTATAACTTGATTCGAGTAAAATTCAATTCAAATTTAAATTCTAGTATAAATAATCAAGTTTAAAGTATGAGAATTATATTCGTCTTTTATTATGAGTCTAATCGAATTCTACTATAAATAATTTTTTAATCAACTCGAACTTAAATTTGTTATCATTTAGATTTGATTAGCTCCAATTACAACACTAACTCTACCCTTCAAAATCAAAATTTAAAAATGAAGTTTTGGAACCTTGTGCATGTATATGTCCAGTATGTATATACCTTAAATAGAATGACTTACTACACTGGTCCTTAGATTTTTTTTTTTTTTGTAGGCATGAGAATATCAAAAGAAAATTGGGGTTGAATTCATCTAGAAATGTTTGACCTTAGTGGATATGTACTATTATTTAAAACAAAATGTGGATTTTGTCAAAGATTCTTTTATATAAAAATTGTTATTATTGCATGGTTTTCCAAGTATAGGCGTGATCAAAATTAAAAAAAAATGTTATAATTGGATTATTTTCTTATATGCAACGTAATGACAGTGCAATTAGTTCGTTGTTAATTCATTTAGAACAACGTTGTTTCATGATGAATATTAAATAATGTCATATTTGATGATGAATGAAAATCTTTTATATAAAACTATATCTATAAAAAATATTTAATAAAATGAATTTTAGATTAATCTTGATGAAAAATTGTTTTGCAGACTCTTTTCTATCTTGTAATATGATTTAGTTTTAATATATGTATTTAACGTTAATAAATGTCTGACATCTAAATGAAGCAAATTTTGTCTTTGATTTGGGAAAAGGGAGGTTTATATATAGATTGTATAACGAGATTGATGTGGAACATATAGTTGTAGATAATCCTTGGTATTTCAACTCTTAAATTTTATAGGGAGATTGGTGGCCCATGACTCGAAGGTGATGGCATTGGGGTAAAATTATACGCACAAGAGCCAAACGAAAACCATTGAAGAGGAAGAATAAGTAAAGCCTCTTAGACGAAAAAAATAATAATAATCCGAGATAAAAAAAATAAAAGGTAAAATAAAAAATTGATAAATATTTGAAAATAATATAAAAATAAATACATGATTGGAAACGAATTGAAGTTTGCAGCTACGTGGTTTTCTTAAGATAATTTTTCAATCATTCTTATGGTATTTGAGATTGTTGGTCGCAGGGCTATAAATGATATGAGACAGATCACGAGCTACTTGAGATCGACTCAATCAAAGCTCGATAAATACTCAACTCGAATGGACACCAGCTCGACTTGAGTTCTTAATGAGCTGAAACGAGAAACTTGTTACCCGACTCGAAAAGCTCGTGAGGAGCTCGGAAATATAATACAATACGGTTTTATGTTTTTGAAAAAAAAAATTATTAATAATATTAACATTTATGTGTTTATTTTCTTTATAAAAATGTAGCATAAGGTTTTCATGTATTTAAGGTTCAAGTTTGAGTTTGAGGCTTCAATCGAGTTAAGTTAAAGATTTTTTTTCATTTCGAGCTTTTACGAGCTCTAGTTCATGATTTTGAGTCCAAAACAAACTTGAAAATTTTAAGCTTTCAAGTTTTCGAGTCGAGCTCAGTAATACAAGAGCTCGACTCGACTCATTTAGAACCTTAGTTGGTTGTCTGTCTCCCAGGATACAACTGTTTGATTAAAATCCATAATTATGGGCACATATTTATAATGTATATTGTTATCAAAAAAATATGACATAAATTAAATGACCAATTATGTTATAAAGTCATAAGGTATTAGAAGTGTCATGGAAATAAAAGTGTAGATACTATTAAAGTTGTATCTATAATTTCGATGAGAGGCAAAGTTATAATTACAAATAATAAATGATTCTTAAATAAGCTATACAAAGGGGTTATGGTCCCCAAGAAATATACACTCTCGTATTTACTCTTTTCCCCGTCAGAGAGTTTATACTTAAGGGAACTCTATCTTCTTGGAAGATAACAACCAAAGAAACATTCAAGGATTTCAACCTATCAATTAATTCAGGCACGCTTCCGCAAATCCAATATTTATTATTCTTGATGATTTAACATGATTAAATCCTAGTTGTTTTTCATATTTATTATGATTTTGGTTCTTACAAGTGATATTATCGCCAGATCGTGTTGAGTCATTGAGAATCGATTTTTTTTATATTATTTTTTGATTTTATTTGCTCTTAAGATTCGAAGGATTCGATATTTACATTTAATAATAACCATGAATATTTATGTGTTATTAATCTCTAGAATATCTTTAAATATTGCATTTTTTTATTTGAAAAATCTTTGTTTTCGATGACCATAGTGTGATGCTAATATCTGGATTCAGATTCGTTTATGAAAATTCATTAAATTTATTTTAGTTTACTATTAGTCAATTTAGAAACCCAAAACTGGCAATTCAATGCATTCCTTTTGTTTTGTTGTTCGTGGGTCTGAAAATCTTTATTTGACAATTCAATGTTAGTGTGATTTCATGTCCTATGATGTTGTTATACGCGAAAATCCTCATGCTGTTATGCTTTCGGAATTTTTCAACTCATGGTTATTTGTGATATTCATCAATTAAGTAGATTTTTGGGATTTTAAACTTCCCTTTTATGTTATGTTATTTGTTTTGCTAATATAATATGGTCGTCAATTTGATTTTTTTTATGTATATCAATTATGATTGCTTTGGTATAAAGTTTTAAGTTAATTTCTCGTCTATTATTATAATCGTGTTTATGGTTGTTTTAGGTGCTATTGTTGTGAATATTAAAGTTTTAAGTTGGTATAATGGCACAAAGTTACAATAAATTTCTTTATTATTATTATAATCATCCATTATTATAAAAATAATTATGTAATTGGTTTTGGTTTAATTTGGTGAATCCATAATTATGAAACTCTAGAGAAATAGTCAAATATTTAGATTTTCAGTTTCTAATAGCGTCGTTTAGACAACCTTATGGGTTACTTCGAAAATCATGACGTGATAAGAAAATTCAGTTTTGGCTTTTTTCTATTATAGAATATATATTTGACAATGATATATTCGAGTTTGATTAACAAAATATTTTTTAATCTTTGGAAATGTTTTAATTTACTGGTATGTACTTTTTCTGACGTTTGGTTAAATTTTAATTATTTTTGAATTCAATTTATTTTTGGTGAGTTATGAAGTTATGAATTAAATGCATGCTTAAACAATACTTCATAAACAATCAAAGACTTAGTTCCCGACTTTTGATAGCACTATTTATGTAACTTTATTTTGAGTTATTTCAGATACTGTGGTGGAATCAAAAATTTCAGTTTTTACCTTTGACTGTTATAGAAATATTAATTTTGAATACTAATATTTATTTTGAGATGACTTAATTAAAGCAATAAGTCGTTAAAGTGACATCAGTTATGGAAAATATTTTATTTTAAAATATGAAGAATTACGTGCATGCAACTTAGGATATTTTAGTATTGATCGGCCCAAAGGAAGATTAATAGTTGACATAATCGCATGTACAACTTTGGTAATAAACATGTGATAATTATTCGGTTTAATGTGTGAGTAATAAATCGACCCAAAGGAAGATTTTTGCTTGAACTGTTCTTATTATCAGTGTTTGATTACCTCATCAGATATCACTTAAGGTGAATATTTTGTCTAAAGATAAAATATTAATTGAGTATTTGATATCTTGTGACAGGTGGAAGTGTATTCAAATTTATTATTATTTTGGTTATCTTTTAATTTAATTAAAAGATAGATTAAGAGAAATTGATTGGTTGACAATATTCATATGGTTTTATTTATATTGTTAATACAATATAAGTATATATTCAATTCAGTTTTTCAGTTTTGATTTTTGGTTATTAGAATATATATATATTTTGAAGCACATTAATTCATATTATGGCTATGTCTGATAGTTTGATAGATTAGTTGAAACATAATGTCGCCAAATGCCCTCTTTTTGTGTAAACTGGTTTATTTAAAATATCAAGATGATCATGTGTTTCTTGTGATTCATGCGTTTATTAATGAACCCAAAGGAAACTTAATATTTGGTCGGATTTCAAGCGACACTTGTGGTAATAATATGTGACAATTATAAGGTACTTTATGTGAGCATTACATTAGACCAAAGATTAGTCTATTGTTCGACATAGTTTATTTTCAATGTTTGATTACTACACCAAT